ATTTGCAACCAGTGTCTGTGCAGTGCCAGTGTCATTCTCAGCTCTGGTGTAGGGGAAAGGACAAACTTGCATGAAAGGGCTACAAGCCCATAGTGGTGAGGATTCCACAGGCTACCTTATGCACACACAAAATGAACGCTTTTATGGCATCAGATAACACAAATTTACCATAATAAAAACATTATTTTGCTGTATGCTGAAAGTTTTTTCCAAAACAACACAATGTTTGAGTTAATTTCTGGGGCTAAATGCTAGCTAAATGTTATAGATGGTAAAGACAAACAGAAAGATCTAGGTCTTTAACAAAGAGCTAGAACTCAACTCAGTAGTTTTTATTTCCATTAAGACTGGAAGCATTAAAAAAACGTACAGAACAGAGACTCTTTTACACTGTATAGGACCTCTCACTCTCTGAGATCTGGGAGGATTTTGCATATTGTATCTATACAGCAGTATTCAGCAGCAGAAGTACGCAGCTACTGGAACATAAACCTGTGGGTCTCTGAATAGGAAGTATTTGATAGGGACAAACACCGCCTCTGACAAAAACATCTTTTTGAATTTTAATGACAAGCTGAAAGCTGCTGAAGGACTGGGATTGTCAGCAGCTCTTATTGTTTTCTAGCAGAAATTAGCACCCCAAAGTACATCTGAAAAATGTCTGCATAACTGTCTGCTGCTAGTGGATGGGATTTCACTTTTTCAAGTCTCAGCAACATACACATTGAATTGTTTCATTACTTGGCTCTTTGCCTCTGTATGAGGTAAATCATCAGCCTGCTAAATCTGTAGATGGGACTGAGCAGTCATGTCTGCTTAAAACCAATTGTGAAGCAAATGCTGATGTGCTCCCCCCTCTCCTGTGGGTTACTGCTGTATTACAGACTTCACTGCCTGTAAACTGGTATTGTGGGAGCACTCGTTGAGGAAAACATCATGCAAAGTCAAAACAAAACAATTATCCCTGCCCTAAGGTTCCTGCAGTGTCTTGCTCTCCTTTTTTACAATTAGTTTTCATGTTCCTTTTTTCCTGAAGATGGGCTGAGCAGTTGCAATTGCTGTATTTATTTACTGGAATCAGAAGTGCAAAGCACCTTGCCACTGAGCCCAAGGAGACTCTTCTCACTCCTTCCAGCAATACGCTCTTTTTGGGTATTACCTTCATATAGATATTAGAAGAAACTGAAAACCCAGCTTCACTTACGTGAATAAAAGCAGTGTCGGTGTTGCTTAGCTAGATGCATTTTGGATCATGGCTCTCAGCAGAATGTATCCATGAGAGATACTGGAGACAGCTGGCAAGGCAGCCTCACTGTGTGAAATACATGCTAGTATATTTGTAGATGATTATAAAAACAACTTTTCAAGGTTAGCATCCAGGTTTGCTGCTGCTTAGCACATGAGTAAGAGTCCAAAGTATTTTTTCTGTTTGACTACCTTCGTTACTATCTTTCTATTTCTTGTGTGTGTTTTTCTCTCCCTTAGAAACATAAGGGCCTATGAAATCTGATGTTTCATAGTTTTGCTGAAGGACATTTTGAGAGTCTCGGGAAAACATACCAAGGTGATAGAGACAGTGAGCTTTGAATGTGTAGAACAATCACCTAGAGCTAATTTGTTGTTTGTAGTTTTAATGGATAATCAAATGCTGGGTTCTTGTAAGAGACTAAGTGTGTACCATACTGCTCACTCTGAGGCTTTTTACATGCCTTACATAGACATACAGACAAAATTATTGTGGAAATGAGAAAGAGTCCACTTGCTGCAGTCAGAGCAGCAAAGATGGACTTGTAGCTGGGTTTTGTTTTAAATCTGGTGCACGAGTTAACTGGAATTCCCTGACTTGCTATCTGACTTGACCCTGCTTTGTTTGAAGCAGTCACACAAATGTGGTAAGTGGTATATGGCAACAGGTTATACAGAGTGTGCTGCCTTGCTGTAGAATAAATATTGTCCAGGACAAACTGTCTGTCCTCGTTGCCTTGCACATGAAGTGTCAGCTCATAGGTGTGAACAACTGAATTTGGGGCACACCAGCGTATCTGTGCAGAGCTGTCTGTAACTTCAGACACCTCTCTGAGCCTTGGTGGATCTGGAACCTCATCTTCTGTCGACAGGCCAGGACATAAACATTGGGATACACTCTGAAGTTCACTGCACGGCCTCTGAAGGTGTCTGCAAGGGTTGTAGTCACAGGAGGTATATGCCAGTTGCACTGGGGTTTCCGTTGAATGTTCATCGTAATCGTAGTCATCTACAAAGTGTATCAGAGATCTGGTGAGTGCAGGCTCAGAGTGAGCCTTGGTTCTTGTGGAGTTCAGTGGTGATAGGCTCGTTGGTGGTGTAGCTTCCCCAGCATGAGTGGCAAAAGAGTGGGTATAATGGTCAGTGGCATTAGGGTTTCCTGTTGCCCTAGTGGAGTAATCACTAGTGGGCTGGCTGAATGGGCCTTCCTGGGGAAACGTCGCACCAGTCATTCTGAACTCTCTCTTTAGCTGATCTGTTTCAGTTTGACTGGTGAAGCCATAATCCAAGGAGTGACTATAGAGCTCTGTGACAAAACCTGGGGAGGTGGTTACAAAGGCAAAGGAAGGGGGATGGCTCGTGGATTCGGAAATGGCCTCCTCCTCATGGGAAGAACTGTTGGCTTGTGTGAGCATGGGCTCAGTTGGGTTGGCTGCTGTCGTGCTCATTCTGTTCCTCTGAATTAGGGAGCTGGTATAAGTGGTTAATGGAGCAGAGCCTGTTGTTATTGCAGTAGTAGCATCGTAACTGGTAAGGCTGAAAGCTTTGTGTTTGTGAGAAGGTGTGTTTGAATCAGGCAGCGTAGCGTTTCTCCCAGACTGGCATTTATTGTAGACCTCTAGCAGTGAAAACGATGTCGAAGGTCTGTCCTGATCTTCCTGGGATGTGTTGCAAAAAGTCTCTAAAGCCCTGCAGAGAGGACAAGTTAGAATAGACAAAATCCACAAGAACTTTACAGGCTCCCCTAAGGCTGCTTGGATTGGAATTGGCAACCTGCTATCCCAAAACAGTCTTTATATTAAAGGAGACATGAAACCTAAACCAAAGATAAGTTGTCTTAGTGATAGTCCTGTGCTTGGCAGAGGGCTTTATACAGCACTGAGAACTTCTCTGACTGGCTTTTTGGTTTTGTAAAGTGCAGAAATATCTTTTGCCTGAGAAGAAGCATCCTTTGCTACAAGGACTGTGAACCTTAGCAAGAGTGTTGGGGTTCTAGACAACTTGTCGTAAAGGGTTAGACTTTAATGCCGCACTAGGAGGGCAACGCATGCAGAGAGATGTCACAGAGTCACCAAGATCCTTAGATCATCTGGATTAGGCAGCTGTGCTGACACAGGATGTGCTTTTAAATGACTGAGCTGGATTTCTTTCTTTACTCAGATATTGCATGTTTTTGTAAAGAATGCAACTGCTAAGCCCATCCTAAGAACAAACAATCTAATTTTAACAATCTACTTCCCTGCTCCCCCACTACAGATACAAATCTTCTTGGTGGCCTTTGAAAAGGAAGAGATCATACATATGCAAAGCATTTCTTTTAACTGCAGCTTATCCTTACAGTCTGTAAAACTGTAGGAGAACATGGAAACAATAGGTGACAAACGGGGCTATTTGCCAGGGGTTTTGTTAACTGCCTGGGCTGATCTAGGTTTTGGGAATGCAAGGGCAAAAAGGAAATAATTTGCTAAATATCTTGCAAACTCTTCCAATTCCTGCTCCCAGTGGTGGCCCATTAAGACCACCAAGTGGGCTAATTTTTTATCTCCATCCAATAGATATGTACGGAAACAGAGAAGATAAGCTCTTCTCACCTTATAGTAGAATCCACAGCTACTAACAATTTCTACTCTTCTGCCTGTGCCCATCTTGTCTGTCTGCATTCAAGTATAATTCAGCCATGCTTTGTCCCTGAAGGGGACTTTATTTTGCATTTCTACGTCTTCTGGAATGGAAGAGCACACGAGGCTTAGATGACAGTTAATATTGGGTCCCCAAATAACTTGGACATTTCAGTTGTGTCTGAAGAGCATTACTGTATCTCTTTGAACTCACTCACTTTTGCAGCACAACTTTCTTGGGCTTGGAGAGCAGCCAGGAGAGCTGGCAGTCGCATAACAGAGGATTTCCGTACAAATCGATGATGATGCTATCCGATGAATTGATATTCCAAGGATTAAAGGAACTCAGGTTACAGCTACAAGATGACAAATGCAATAATTAGCAAATGCTGAGCTACCTTCCAAGGGCTGGAGCCTGCTTAGTATCCCAGCATGTGTGTAAGATACAAAGCAACATTCCCAGTTCCCTTGGAAGCAGCCAGTTATCAACACCCGCATTCTGCACTTAAAGTCCAGACTAATGCCTGCTCATCTCTCTAATTTGCACAGTGTAGCTGCTGTGTGTTAAAGCATACAAAAGCATGGTAAGGAGATAACATCTTTCAGGATGGCAGCTGGAAGGGAAAGGACCTAGCGTTTGGCAAAAGTCTTATGTGAAATTTCAGTTGATCTCCTCTCTGCCATCATGCACTGCATTCAGCTCCACTTTTCTTTTATACTATACCGTTTCTCTAGCTTCTTTCTCGTTCTGCTTGTAATGGCTTGACTTTCACTATGCCAGTCATCCTCTTTCTTTCGTAATACAGACTCTCACCGACTGAAGTCAATGACTAACACGAGAAGACCTTGCTTGCCTTTATTGTTAAGCTGTCCCAGCTGCAGAAAGAGTGAGATATTGTGACCTCCCTGCAGCCTGAGTGCTCAGAAGATGCTCTCTTTTGTTTGCGACTTTAACTGCTACTCCTTTGTTTTTTAAGTTTGGGTCATGATTTTTAGCACTTTGAACTGGTATTCCTGCAGGTATTTTAAAGTGGTGTGTAAATTCAGTGTGGCAATCTAGTTGGGGGATGTGCTCTGCCTTTTTTTTTTTTTTTAATTAAATGGATTTATTTTCCTGGAACTGGTCACACACAGCCAGTGTCCTAGTATTTGTTTTCTGATATGCTTGTAATCGGGGCCTATATTATAGAAATCTTTTAAGGTGTTCTCCAAATCTTTTTCTTTATGCTAACTGTTCTGTGTGCAGTTTACCTACTTTTATTTTGATAAATCACTTTCAGACTTTTGTTTCCCTCAGTATTTCAGCAGGTGTGTGACATACCAAATACATCACACTGAGGTGTTACCTCTAGAATAAGGACTAAACCATTGCTTTTACTACTGCTGAACAAGACACTACATTAATCTCTCACACTAAAAGTGGGAGGGACAGGATTTTTGCTGCTTCCATGGTACAGATTTTAGAAAACTGTCAGCATTCATCCTTTGTAGAGCAAGGAATTCTCAGTGCCTACCTTCTGTGGTGAGATATTGCTGTTGTCGATGTTGGAATCATGGTCTGTATCACAAGTGGGCTTCAGTGGGTCTATGCTAATCTAAACAGCGCTAGATAAATTCATCCCATGGATGGGGAGATAAGGCAGAGGAGGGGGAGCACAGTGGTTGTGATCTCAAGCAGGGAGTAACTGTGCTGTTGCTATGAGTCCTGCTAAGCATACTTTCTTCCTAAACACTTGATAACAAGCAAACTTTGCACAAAAATCAGCTCCCAGGCACGATAGTGCTGTGAAGCAAAGGCAACATACTTGTGGAGGAACAAAAAAGAAAACAACTCACTTCTCAAATGAGAGATGACTCAGATGAGGAGCACTGTCAAACATCTCTGTCCTCACGAAACCCAGTGAGCGGGAACCTTGACAGTTCAGCTCTCGGAGATCAGGCATGGACTTGAAGAAGTCAGTATCAAGGCTTCTTAATCGTGACATCTTTGTCAAGTGAAGTGATCTGAGGTTGGGCAAGTCTCTGGTCCACTCTGGTTGAACTGAAGCAGAAAGAAAGATTGATACCTGTTGCCTAAATAGAGCATTCCTGTGGATTTCTGCCTTAAAAGACTTTTGAATTCATAGAGATATAAAATATCTCTGTGGTCTTCTGCAGCTATTCTCTTTGGGAAAGGAATAGGAAAAAAATCAATATACCAGTGTATAAGCACCCACACAATCACATTTTTGCTATGTTACCTGCAGGTCATGCTGTCACAGGACAGAGGAAAAGAAGGTAAGATAAAAGGTCAAAAAGCTGATTGGAGATATGGAATAGCTTTCCTGTTAGGTGAGACTAAATGAACAAGGATTTCTTTGCTTAGAAAGGTGATGAGTGAGGGGAGATTAGACAGGTCTACAAAGTCCTCAACGGTGTGAGAAAGGCAAGTAACTTCTTATTTCTCCTGGCACAGAAAAAAGAACTGAGAGGCATGAAACTGAAAGAATAGGTGTTACAGAAAAATGCCTTTCCATCCCACGACTGAATTGTGTAACTTGCTATGACAAGGGATTAGACAAATTCATGGCGGAAAATTGCTGGTCTATCTGTTCAATGTGAGTTGAGGTGAAACCTCTAGCTTGGGGAGTCTCTAGGCTGCTGGTTACTGGAATCAGGGCACATACACATAGCAAAAAAACCCTCTGTGCTGCTTCTCTTTCTCCTACACTGTCCGTGAGAAGTGCCACTGTAAGGTGCTCATGGAAACACACTGTTCCAGCGGGATGATCTCCACCTTTGCACTGTGGTTCTTGTGTTAGTGTTAACAAATAACCCACCAGTGAAACCTCACAGCATCCCTGGGAGATAAGAATTGTTTTGTATAAATAGAACTGGTATGAAATGAGGCAGGAAAACACATAAAATAGATAGGCCAGGAACGGTTCTGTCGTGGCTGAGACCCTGTGGTTGAGATCCTGTGGTTGAGATCCTGGGGGG